CGGCACCTCTTCCCCTCCGAACAGATGAACGAATCCCTCAGAAACGTACTGGGCCCCAAAAAGGCGGGCTCCCATTCGGTTTCCCGGGACTTTCATTCTTGAGCCCCACACAGCGGGCCCTCAGATCCCGTCGGGCGTCCCCGAGGGTGGGGGGGGACTTCCCGGACTCGTCAGTCCCTGTCCACCACTGCCCCAAACCAGACCGTGAGTCTCACGCCGAGAACAAAGAGCAAGACAAAAAAACAGAAACAGAAACACCAATACACATACAACACACAAAAACACACAAAAGGGCCAGCCGGCTTACCTCCCCGGGAAACCTGGGTTGTCCCCGGTGCTGCGCGGCAGGGATCTCGGTGGAACCTCCAACCGCTCGGGTCAGGACTTGCGTGCCGGGCTTAGTTTGGGGGGGCTTTTTATAGAGCAGAAGCAAGGTACAGAAGCAGATGCATGGTTACAAGATTATTATTAGTGCATTTCAATGGGTACAAGGTATGAGGAAACAGTATTGCCAAATTCAGAGGGGGCTATGGGTGAAACTGATTGTTATCGTTAACTTCCCAGTAGGGGCTGTTATCACTAACTTCCCGGTAGGGGCCTCAGGGTGGTGGCAGGTGGTCCGACTGCAAATGTCCTATCTTCCACTGCTAGTTTCACAAGACCTGGGTTAGAATCTTGGCTTATCGAATGGCTGATTACAGTTCTTTTTCTAAAATGGCCTTCCTGCTGTCAGTCGGGTCTTTCAAGTCTATCTAGTCACTCCCTTAGAGAAGATCTACTCTCCCTCACCTGCAGTAATCAGTTACCAATAGTTCCTTGGCTAGGGTTGGGGCCTGATGCCCGTTTTCCCAGTTCTATGCTGGGTTTTTGTCTGATTGAGTCAGCATGGGTCTTGTGCATGCTGTCACCATTGCTGCAAGTTCATATGAGCAAGTTCCCAGAAGCCTGAAAATCTCTGTTTCCTTATGCTCACACACCAGCCCTGGTTCTTACACTCTTTCTGCCCCCTCTTCTACAATGGTTCCTGAGCCATGGGTGGATGAGGTTTAATCTAGGAACCCTATCCAAGGGCATGCATTCTGCAGTCTCTTATTCTCTAAAACCTGGCCAGTTGTGTGCATCGCACTCTGTTGCATGAGGAAGCTTCACTGGTGAGAGGTGAGGGACGTATTAGTCTTCTTGTTCTGCTGTGTTCCACGAGCCTTAGGTGTTGAGGTGCCACTGTAGATGTGTCACTTAGGGCTGGGCATCTCTCAGATTTGTATTCTCTATGCGTGACGAGTTCTGGAACTCATTTTGGCATTCTTGGTGGACCTCAAGAAGGATGGTTCTTTAAATTCTCCTTGAGTCAGTTACCACATTTTACTGTTTTTCTCATAAATTAAAGAACCAAATAAAATCTTTGGCAGATGTTCCTCTTACATCAGTATGAGAATTGTGAGTTATCTTTACAAACATATAACTACACACACACACACACACATACACACACACACACACACACACACACACACACACATATCCTGCAGGCTGAGTGCGGAGCTAAAAGCGAGAGAGTACTTGGTTAGCATAAATGAGGAGCTGGTTTCCACTACTACTAGCAAGGTGATAGATTATAGATTCTTTAACACGTATTGTGTACTGTGTTCTTTCTTCCTCTCTTCACCCATCTCACCTTGATCATCCTTCAAGTCTCAGCTCACATCACACCCTCAGAGAGGCCACCCCAAATCTATACCAAGCCCTTCATGACTCCTTCGCTTACTGATCTGTACCTCAGTGTACTTGTTACAGTTGATCACTTGTACTCTGTGTGCTTTGGGGAGTCAACTTACATATTTTATTTAAATTTTCCTCTTTAGGGTTCAGCAGTTAAGAGCACTGGCTGTTCTTGCAGAGGACCCAGGTTTGACTCCCAGCACCCACATGGCAGCTAACAATCTTCCATGACTCCAGTTCCAGGGGATCCAATACCTGTTTCTGACCTCTGCAGGCATGGCATGCATGTGGTACACCTACATACACACAGGCAAAACACGCATACATACGAAGATAAAAATTAATTAATTAATTTTCTTCTTTGTATTTTTCCTTCCTGTCTAGATTTTTTCAGACAGTGTCTTGCTGTGTAACCCATGCTGGCCTCCAGTTCACAGTGCTCCTGCTTCTGCTTCACAAGTGCTGGCACTGCAGGCCTACAGCACCACACCCTGCTTATGCTGTTCTCTATTATGTACATTTTCTGTAATGAATATGTATACTTTTATGATGTTTAAAGTGGCATCTTTAATCATTACTTTCAAAAGGACTAGAAAAAAGGACCACAGTATTTTCACTGTCAATTGCCTCTTGCATCTCCATGGAAGCCTCTCTCCCCCAAACACTCTAGCCCACCCAGAGTGCTCCCCACACAAACTCCAATGGCAAATTGCAGTTATAGTTTCTTCCACACAATCAGCCTTACTGGAGCACTGAGTAACAGTAAAATGAGTACCTTTGCGTGTGTGTGTGTGTGTGTGTGTGTGTGTGTGTGTGTGTGTGTTACAGTTCCTACTCTAAAACAGTTTACAGCCTAATGGGTGAGAGACAATTTTAAAAAAAGAGCAGCAGGTATAGCTCAGTGGTAGACCCTGTACCTAGGCTATATAGGGCATGGGTTCAATCCCCAGCACCAAACAAATAGACATAAATAAAAGTTACATAGCGGTATGAGATATTACTGAACCAACTGCCACAGCTTTATATAAATGCTCAGGCTTGAGCTCATCAAGGCCAGAACAGTTCCATGCCTGCTGAAATGGCTTTAGTCTTGCATGTCTGTACATCCTGTGAGTCAGGCTACAGCAGTGCATCTACACGGAAGGCACAACCCCGCTCTGAATGCCTTAATGTGATCACTGTGGCACTTGCAGCCTAGATACACAGTAGAGGAATGGAGTCACTTACCATCCAGGATAACAGACTAGGTCCCCTGGGAACATTTGGCTTATCTGGGAAGAGGAAGTTTGACTGGGAGATGCTCCCCACTTCCAGAAAATGCGTGTCCATTCTCATCATGTAAGTGTTCCAGCGGTCCAAAGTTACGTGTTTGATTGTTGGACTCCCACTGCAATGGCTTGGGGTGAAGATGGAAAGTCACTCAGTGGCTGAGTAAAAGATGTCTGTTTCCATTCGGAACAACAATGGTTCCCTCTTCCAACCATGTTGTCATAGGAGCCTGCAGTACAGACAGCAAGAATGCTTCAGGGAGGTGACCTCAGCTTAACAGACGCTTAAGGCCAGTGGTACACCAGGTAAGGCCTCTGAGTCTTTGATCTGGTCCTAAGACTGCCACCTGTCGGAAAACACATTCATAAGCACATCTCTAGCCAAGGTCAAGGTCATATCTGTGCCTTTCCAATGTTGCTGTACACCATGTACTGCTCTCCCAGGCCTCCTTAAAAATGTTCCCTTATCCACAGCTGTACCTCTGGTCTGGTATAACCAGGAGCAAAAGCATGTGTACTGGAGGAATTGGGTCAGGAGAGGGAGTGACTATTAATCACAGTATTCTGTATGTGTATCCCTAGCCTCCCTAGGTGACCTTAGAAACTGTCCTAAAAGTGTTTTTCTGGCCTTCTGACCTCCAACTAGTTCACTATCTCCACACCCAATTGTTCTTGAAAACTCCCTGGCTGCCCAATCTTGGCTTTCCTGTGAAATGGCACTCCAGCAGACCGCTTTCTTGAGCACACACTCTTTTCTTTCTTTCTATCCTGGTTTTGAGAGTCATCCCTTTTCTCTAAGACACTGAAGAAACTGCACTGCTCCTCAAATGTCTTTATTTTTCTCCTTCTTTCCCATGTGTGTTTGTGCATGTGCCCGCCCGCTAGGGATGGAACCCAGGACCTCGTGCATACTAAGCATATGATCTATCCCTGAGCTGCACCCCAGCTCCCATCCCCCAAGTTTTCTGTTATGTTGAATTTAGGACAAATTCCAGGGTACGATGGGCCAGGCTTTACCCACATGGCCACAATTGCTCTTCGCGAGGAACCATGCTGGGCCAGGCTTCTCAGAAGCTGGCACCCAAGCCCCACGGACTCTCGGTATCACACTGCCAACCTCTGAATATGACAGCCAGACGGAGACCAGACAGTGCACTCGGTGCTCAGCCAAGTGCGGGCTGGAATGCCAGGCAACCGTGCTCTCTGCTCCCAGGGGCCCCCTGGCCCACTGCAGGACAAATGCAAACGATTGTCACGTGCGCTCTGCAACTTGGCTGCGAGGGTCTTCACGCAGCCTGTGGGCCACATTGTTCCGCTTCTCCCGTCAGATATTTGGCTCCCGAAGTGGCTTGGCGCTCACCCTCCTCTCTGGCTGCCCGCAGGCCTCCCTGCAGCGCGGCCTGGGCCTGATTAACGCAGCCCAGCTTCCCGAAGATCCGAAGATCCGGGGTGGGGGTCAGGCACTCTGGAAGCCTAACTCATCACTTTTATTTTCTGCGGTGCATTTCCCGTTTACTCCTTCCCCTACAAAGCCATCTGCAGACACAAAATGCTTTAAGGCTTTCTTCATTCATTCCAAGTCGCAAAGCTGGAGCCTGGCTAGGGACTCAGAAGACGCCATGGCTGCCACCATCTGCCAGTGATGACTGCCCTGACTGGAGAAGCCAGGGGAGAAAACAGCAATAAAAGGAAGATACATGGCTCCCGGGAAGGAGAACTGTGAGACGGGAAGAAAAAAAGACACCGTAGCCGGGAGGACGAACACCGCCTAATTTACACATAATTACCATTTGGGGGTGAGAAAAACAAATATCCCCGGGAGGAAAGTGTGCAGCACAGACACGTCGAGCTGGGGTGGGTCTGTTCCCTGCACGTGGGCGCACGGATCACCCACCCAACCCTGGCCGCGCAGGTGGAGATGCCCCCAGGGGCTCCGGACCCGGTGCGCACGCGCGGGCAGCCGGCGCCCTCTGGCGGAAGACCTGCGTGGCGCCCCGGGACGCTCCGGCCCTTTGCACCCGGGCCTGGCCGGTCCCCGGCACCGCGGTCTGGGCTCGGCTCCCAGAGGCGCCCGTCCCGGAGCTCCGCTCGAGTCCCGCAGCCTGGGCGTTCTGGGGCTCAGGGTGCGGTCTCAGCGCCCAGCAGCACGAGGGCGCATCGCTGTTGCCCCTCTGCGCGTCACTGTCACGATGCTGACCATCGCCAAGTGGCTCCTGATGGCCCAGGGTCCGACCGAGGCCACGACGGGTTAAGATGACAGAACACCGTGTATACTGTGATGTCAAGTTCAAGCGGTAGCACCTGCCTGGTATCCCGGCGCTCAGGAGAAGGGCTAGGCTGCATACCTTGTCACAAAGCAAACGAGAAAACAAAGGGCAAAACACAAAGAACGTATAATATAATTTAGGGTAAGGTTAACAGCGGTGAGAAACAGCACAGAAAACAACGGATGGGCGTAGGAGCTGAGTGCCACTTTCAGGGACGCAGGGTGCAAAAGGCAGGCAGAAGTGCGACCTGGTGAGCAGGGCCGCTCGCTCCGCCAAGGCGGAGGTGGTGCCTGGGCCCCGGGGTTTAGAGGCTCCCGGCACCGGCACCACTGTGATTCATCACTGTCCAGACTCCAGGCAAACTTCTCCACCACCTCACCAGGGCGTGTTAGAGCAGTGTGTGCCACATAGCGTGAGGAACATTCCGCAATGTTCAATAGCTCATTAGCAGCAAGATGCCTGAAACAAACCATTCTAACCTTAACGGAGGCTGAACGCTAAAGCAGAATATTTGAAGGGTTGAGGCTGGAGCTCAGTGTAGAATGTCCTTAGCAGGCATGAGGCCCAGGTTCAGTTCCTAGCATGAAAAAAATAAAGACTTAAATAAAAGGAATATTTTATGTACTTTAGTTGAATTTTCCAATAAAGTTTTTCAGCTTTATTTAAATAATTATTTTTCATATCCATCAATTTGGGTATGCATTTATGTAATTATAAAAAATCCAAATATTTGAGAAAAATAACTTTTAATTCATATGTAAAAACCATTTCAGTTTCCACTTTATATTTACTTTCAGTTATAGTTTAAGTGATAGTATATTTAAATTCCGTGTACTTTGAGGCAATAACATTTAAAAAACTTTTTTTTAATCACTCATCTTTTTTTTTTTTCTTGAGACAGTCTCACTATGTAGCCCTGACTGGCCTAGCTATGTAGACCAGTCCTTGAACTCACAGAGATCTGCCTGCCTCTGCCTACCAAATGCTGGAATTAAAGGCATGTGCTACTGAAGCCAGTATTTATCACTCATCTTAATAGACCATAAATTATTTGATAATGAACATATTAGTGATTTCACATAAATGAAAGCAACTCAGCAATAAATGTATAATATGCTATAAAAACTGTGTCTCCATTTTATTATCATTCAAGTTTCACTAACAAAAAATCAGAACACTCAGATGTGCACAGTAATGGTAAAATTCAATTCTTTCCATTTTACTAATTTAAAGTAATAAAAATTGTTTAATATGTATTTTCAGTTTTATGATGAAGAATTCGTCATGACAGAAAGAACATATTTTTCTGTCACGGTTTTTGTATGATTTTAAGTTTTAAGTTCTTGGAGATACAGTACATACACCCCATTTGTACCGCTGGTTTGGGTCCCTGCTATGTGAAGTTCAGAGAGGAGATGGTAATAGATTTA